ACTAGAACTGAACTAGAACTGAACTAGAACTGAACTAGAACTGAACTAGAACTGAACTAGAACTGAACTAGAACTGAACTAGAACTGAACTAGAACTGAACTAGAACTGAACTAGAACTGAACTAGAACTGAACTAGAACTGAACTAGAACTGAACTAGAACTGAACTAGAACTGAACTAGAACTGAACTAGAACTAGAACTGAACTAGAACTGAACTAGAACTGAACTAGAACTGAACTAGAACTGAACTAGAACTGAACTAGAACTGAACTAGAACTGAACTAGAACTAGAACTGAACTAGAACTAGAACTAGAACTGAACTAGAACTAGAACTGAACTAGAACTGAACTAGAACTGAACTAGAACTGAACTAGAACTGAACTAGAACTGAACTAGAACTGAACTAGAACTGAACTAGAACTGAACTAGAACTGAACTAGAACTGAACTAGAACTGAACTAGAACTGAACTAGAACTGAACTAGAACTGAACTAGAACTGAACTAGAACTGAACTAGAACTGAACTAGAACTGAACTAGAACTGAACTAGAACTGAACTAGAACTGAACTAGAACTGAACTAGAACTGAACTAGAACTGAACTAGAACTGAACTAAACTGAACTAGAACTGAACTAGAACTGAACTAGAACTGAACTAGAACTGAACTAGAACTGAACTAGAACTGAACTAGAACTGAACTAGAACTGAACTAGAACTGAACTAGAACTGAACTAGAACTGAACTAGAACTGAACTAGAACTGAACTAGAACTGAACTAGAACTGAACTAGAACTGAACTAGAACTGAACTAGAACTGAACTAGAACTGAACTAGAACTGAACTAGAACTGAACTAGAACTGAACTAGAACTGAACTAGACTGAACTAGAACTGAACTAGAACTGAACTAGAACTGAACTAGAACTGAACTAGAACTGAACTAGAACTGAACTAGAACTGAACTAGAACTGAACTAGAACTGAACTAGAACTGAACTAGAACTGAACTAGAACTGAACTAGAACTGAACTAGAACTGAACTAGAACTGAACTAGAACTGAACTAGAACTGAACTAGAACTGAACTAGAACTGAACTAGAACTGAACTAGAACTGAACTAGAACTGAACTAGAACTGAACTAGAACTGAACTAGAACTGAACTAGAACTGAACTAGAATGAACTAGAACTGAACTAGAACTGAACTAGAACTGAACTAGAACTGAACTAGAACTGAACTAGAACTGAACTAGAACTGAACTAGAACTGAACTAGAACTGAACTAGAACTGAACTAGAACTGAACTAGAACTGAACTAGAACTGAACTAGAACTGAACTAGAACTGAACTAACTGAACTAGAACTGAACTAGAACTGAACTAGAACTGAACTGAAACTAGAACTGAACTAGAACTGAACTAGAACTGAACTAGAACTGAGCTGAACAAGAAGTAAATTGCAAGTAAAACGTTGCAGATTTTAAATAAATCAGTAAAATTAGAGAACATTCGTTGTCAGTTTTCCATCCCTTTCTATAAAATATCCCGCCATGTAAATTTGTGTATAGTCCTTTATAGTTTGGTTTTATGTTTGTGTGTGAGTAATTCATGTTTGACATCAACAAACCATTAGGACCAAAAAACAAATAGAAAAACTGTATATAAAAATCAATTGAATATCAACCATAAAATCGATTGAATTGATGATTATTTTGAAATAAAACACAGCAACAACAAAATATTTACTCTGCCATCAGCCGCCTCTATATACTATAAGTATTGTCTAAAATGGGCTACAACGAATTTGCAAGACGCTTCAAAGGAGAAAATGAAACGAAAAATGTGTGAAGAACTGAAATAGAAATGAACTAGAACTGAACTACATACTTAGTACAGAAATAAACTTAACTAGAGCTGAAATATAATTGAACCAGAACTGAACTAGAATTGAAATAAAACTTAACTAGAACTGAAATATAATAGAACTAGAACTGAAATAGAAATGAACTAAAACTTGATATTAATGAAGTCTCAAACGTTATGAAGCTTCATGAACTATTACCAATTGCTAAGAAGTGTGACCAAAAGCTAATGTGCTGCTCAAATGTTGTTACAGTAACAAGACTATTTGTTTATTTTACAATTTGTTATTGTTGTATTCTATTTAGTATAAAATAAATGATTAAAATCGTTCGATAAGTCTGATGTAGCTCCAGGATATTTACAATGGACTTTTTTGTTGTTGTATGTCTTATCATGTCAAAACTATATAAAAAGCTGATTAAATTTCTCATATTTTACTATAGTCTTTTTGTTTACAATGTTTTGTTTCCAATTTTCTTTTGAACTTTGATAAAATATTAAGAAAACTATTTACACGTTTTTATTTTTACGCCCCTTTTGACAGACAACTTAAATAAGCAGACTTGGCCACTGCCATAACCAAGCAACCATACAGGAACAACCACATTTTTAAGAGGATTATTGATTGTCATTATGGCAAACCATCAATTATTATTTACGATCCAGGCGTAGGGATGATGGACCACACAAAAAAAAACCGATAAAGATAGTTGTAGTTGTCAGGGCAATTATTAAAGGGAGGAGAAGTAGATATAAACTTTGTAAAACTTTCTTTGATGGTTTACTTTAAATGACTTTTTGACATTTTTGGTTAAAAAATATGCGTTTTTAGTAAAAATTATTCGCTCTTTTAAATAAACATTATTATGGACAAATAAAATAATAATACTAATAAACTTTATTTCTTTTATACTTTACTTATAACTATTTCCCTTACTGTTGCTGATTTCTTATTTAATATTAAGAAAAAATCACAATTTTATTTAAAAATCAATCAAGCAGACAAAGGTTTGCTAAAAATCTTTTATTACCAAAAAAAAAAAAAAAAATACAACCTACAATAATAAAAATGTTGAATAAATCTAAAAAGGATATTAGGATTATGTATAGTTGTTGTTGTATGTAATCATCTGGGGAATTAATAACAATTCTATAGAAAAGATTAATCAAGCACATATAATCGAAATAATGTCCAATGTAATACAATAAAATCACCAACATCATCTACTTATGGTTAAATTAACAAACATTTGTTGCTAAAAGTTTATGTAAGCGGTATGAAATTACAAATACATATGTATTTAAATTAAAAATTTGAAATGGGACATTGATCGATAAGGGAATAATACCCATGTGAACTAAAGCTATAATTGAGGCAATAATGAAAAAATGCTGTTCTGATTTCAGCAAGAGAATTTTGTATTCTAAAAATGTTCAGGATTTTAGATTCCATTAACAAATGCTTTAAGCATTTCAGTACTAGAACTGAACTAGAACTAGAACTGACTAGAACTGAATTAGAACTGATTAGAACTGAACTAGAACTGAACTAGAACTAGAAACTGAACTAGAACTGAACTAGAACTGAACTAGAACTGAACTAGAACTGAACTAGAACTGAACTAGAACTGAACTAGAACTGAACTAGAACTGAACTAGAACTAAACTAAACTAGAACTGAACTAGAACTGAACTAGAACTGAACTAGAACTGAACTAGAACTGAACTAGAACTGAACTAGAACTGAACTAGAACTGAACTAGAACTGAACTAGAACTGAACTAGAACTGAACTAGAACTGAACTAGAACTGAACTAGAACTGAACTAGAACTGAACTAGAACTGAACTAGAACTGAACTAGAACTGAACTAGAACTGAACTAGAACTGAACTAGAACTGAACTAGAACTGAACTAGAACTGAACTAGAACTGAACTAGAACTGAACTAGAACTGAACAGAACTGAACTAGAACTGAACTAGAACTGAACTAAACTGAACTAGAACTGAACTAGAACTGAACTAGAACTGAACTAGAACTGGAACTGAACTAGAACTGAACTAGAACTGGAACTGAACTAGAACTGAACTAGAACTGAACTAGAACTGAACTAGAACTGAACTAGAACTGAACTAGAACTGAACTAGAACTGAACTAGAACTGAACTAGAACTGAACTAGAACTGAACTAGAACTGAACTAGAACTGAACTAGAACTGAACTAGAACTGAACTAGAACTGAACTAGAACTGAACTAGAACTGAACTAGAACTGAACTAGAACTGAACTAGAAACTGAACTAGAACTGAACTAGAATGAACTAGAACTGAACTAGAACTGAACTAGAACTGAACTAGAAACTGAACTAGAACTGAACTAGAACTGAACTAGAACTGAACTAGAACTGAACTAGAACTGAACTAGAACTGAACTAGAACTAAACTAGAACTGAACTAGAACTGAATTAAAGCTGAACTAGAACTGAACTAGAACTGAACTAGAACTGAACTAGAACTAAACTAGAACTGAACAAGAACTGAACTAGAACTGAACTAGAACTGAACTAGAACTGAACTAGAACTGAACTAGAACTGAACTAGAAGAACTGAACTAGAACTGAACTAGAACTGAACTAGAACTGAACTAGAACTGAACTAGAACTGAACTAGAACTGAACTAGAACTGAACTAGAACTGAACTAGAACTGAACTAGAACTGAACTAGAACTGAACTAGAACTGAACTAGAACTGAACTAGAACTGAACTAGAACTGAACTAGAACTGAACTAGAAACTAGAACTGAACTAGAACTGAACTAGAACTGAACTAGAACTAGAACTGAACTAGAACTGAACTAGAACTGAACTAAACTAGAACTGAACAGAACTGAACTAGAACTCTGAACTAGAACTGAACTAGAACTGAACTGAACTAGAACTGAACTAGAACTGAACTAGAACTGAACTAGAACTGAACTAGAACTGAACTAGAACTGAACTAGAACTGAACTAGAACTGAACTAGAACTGAACTAGAACTGAACTAGAACTGAACTAGAACTGAACTAGAACTGAACTAGAACTGAACTAGAACTGAACTAAAGCTGAACTAGAACTTATCTGGACTTATATTATTAAAGGTTTTGTAGGTTTTCCTTAAAAACTTAAACATCAAAAAATTTGCACTTACCTCTATAACACTATCTCTTCCCAAACCGGCCAACACCTTACGATTCAACTGTTGTTCCTGGCCGCTGCCGTAGCACTTGTCAATCGTACACCACCACCGGCACCGGTAAGACCAGCTGCAGCTGCCGCTGCTGTGGCTATAACAATTTCGTCTTCTTCCTCGTCTTCGTCCTCGTCGTCTTCCTGATCGTCTAAAATATTATCGTCGTCCTCGTCTAAACCGGAACCAGCACTTAAATTATAATCATCAGCCACAGCAGTGTCCACCACCGAATCTAATTGTTCTTGAAAACTTAAATCTAAATCTTGGGGTAGTTTTGCATATTTCTTGTGATTTTTCATGGTTTTAGACCGCGGAAGAGTTGCGGGCAAAAAACACTAACGTCTTTTAATTAATTAATTATTAAACATGCACACAAATATTAAATAAATAAAAACTATTGAAAAAAACACTTGAAATTAATGACAACACACGCGTTTTAAAAAAAAATTAACGGGGGTGAGAGCAAGAAAAAACACGACAAATTAATATATAACGGTTGTTATTTATTTTGTTTTTTTTTCCTTGACAATTCAATTGCAACTGTTTAGTAGTTGTTGTTGTTGTTCGGTTTTATTTAATGAGTCATTGATAGACAAAAAGGGGGAGAGCAAAAGGGTTTTTTGTTGCGTATTTTCTTTTTAGCAATACAATTTAAATTATTTGAATTTTCTTTTTTGTTATTTTAGGATTTTCACTTTTTCCTTTTATTGTTATTATTACTTTTTATTGTTGTTGATTTTTACTTTTCACCAACAAAAAAAAATGGGCACACAATCGATTTTTTTCTTTTTTCATTCACAAAAGCATGATTGTTCTTTTTCATGTAATGCAGTGTTTTTTTGTTGAAGTAAACTTATTTTTGTTGTTGCTTAGAGTATTTTTCCTGCAGAATTTATTAACAACAGGTTTTTTATAGTTTTATTTTATTTACAAAGGTTTTTTTTGTTGAATCATACGTTAGCAAATACTCCATTTAATTTACAGCTTGACATCATGGCAAGTGGAGTCTAGAAAACAAAGCTAGCAGCACGTTGCTTGCCTCATTGAATAGTCAAGTTATTGGAAACACACTGATACACCCAAGTTCTTAATGGCTGCAACCACACATTATAAAGAAAATTTCTTTTGTGTCAAACTTGAAAAAAAAGGAAGAAAGAATTTTTCACTTTCTTCCCTTTTTAGAAAACAAATCAATCACTTTAATTATCTTTTACAACACTATTGTTTTATTTCCAAGTTTTTTATTAGTTTAATAAATAAATCCAATTGGATTTTTTTTTCTTTTCACCACTTTAGAAATGTTTCAATTTATTATTTTTTTTTCTTTTATTTTATCCGCGTTTATGTTCCTTATGGCTCCACTATTAAAATGCGTTTGTCCGCATCGTAAGCTCTCACTACTTGTCAAATAATTATACAAAATTTTTCTTTCAATTTTCTTTTTTATTTATTTTCTATTTTCACCCTGCCAAAGAGCGCAAAATCCCCAAAAAAAAGCCGTTTTTATTTGTTTTGCTCAAAAACTTTGTATGCAAAAGAATTGCATTTCAGCTTGTTTATGTTATGTGTTGTTATTGTTGTCATTTGGCTGTCAAAGAATTGTAATAGATTAATGCGAATATGGGGGTTTAGTGTTGGTAAGTGGTTGTTTATTGTTAACAATGCTATAGTGTTGTTAAGTACTTGGTTTTTAACGGTAAAATAAGATAAAAAATGTGAAGAGATGGGAAATGTTGTTATTATGAAAAAAACAAAACAAATTTTATAAATACACTTTGAATTGAAATGAAATATAACTTAATATCAATAATTTTAGAACTGAACAAGAAAAACTAGAACATAACTGGAATTAAACTAGAACAGAACCAGAATGGAAATGAACTAGAGCTATATTAAAACTGAATCACATCTGAACTAGAACTGAACCAGAACTGAACTAGAACTGAACTAAACTAAAACTGAACAAGAACTGAACTAGATGGGACAAGAACTAAAATTAAACTAGAAGAGAATTGTACTCAAACTGAACTATAACTGAATTTTTCGTGAACTAGAATTGATTAGGAATTTTGATTTGATTATCTAATTAAAGTTTTTTCTCTTTTTTTATAAATAAAACACATCTAATTTTTTTTAGATTTTAAACTTTTCGAAAGCAATTTTTATGGATTTTTTTTTATTTTTATTATTTTAATAATTATTTTGTTTGTTTTTTCTTTTATTTTACTTTTATTTTGTGTATTTTCTTTTCTTGTTTTTTTATATGTAATATATAAACTTGATTAATATAATTTTGAGTTTGTTTTCTCTGTTTTTGTTTTTGTTATTAATAAATTTCTTTTCATATTTTAAGAAGATAAATTAAATTTTATAAATAAAATTTTAATATTGAAGAAAAAAATAGCTTTTAAAATAAAGATAAAAATTAAAACAAAAAAATAAAATAAAATAAAAATATATAGCTACCACACAGTATTGTATATATTTAAATTTAAATAAAACAATAATTTTGTAGATATTTACTGTTGTTTTATAATTAAATATTTAACTTAAGTTGTAAACTATTTATATATTTTTATAAATATTTATAAAAAAATGTTTCATTATTTTGTGTTTTTAAATTTTTGTGAAAATTTTTGTATTTTATATAATTTTCAATCATATCTCAAGGAAATAAAAGAAATTTTACAAAATAATTTCTTTTAAAACATTAAAATTTTGTTTTTAGCCTTTTGGGGGGTTTTTGTGTTTTGTAAAATAAAATATTCATTAATATTTTTTTTATATATTTTTTATATATTTAAGTTTATATAATTGTTTTTGTTTGTTTTATGTATAAATAGAAAATAATGTTTATATTTTAATATGTCTTATATTTTATCGGTTTTAAGTGTATAATTTATATATAAATTTTTGCGTTTTAAATACTTTGTGTATTTAAATTTGTTTTATACAAGTTTATAAAAGAAGATTGTTTTTGTTTAAATTTATCTAAAAAAAACTTGTATTTTAGATTTATATTTTGTTTATTTTGAGAGTGTATTTTATTTATAGTTTAAATACAGTATTTTTCAGTTTAAATTATTAATTTATTATTTGTATATGTATAATAAATACTGACAACTTACAAAATATAAATGTGGGTTTTTTTTTGTAATATTTATTTATAATTTATATAATTTATATATGTATATTGTTGGTTTTTGTCGTAAGTAAAATGTACAAGTTTGTATAGAATTTGTTAGAAAGTTTCTTGCAATTCGAGAGATTCGGAAAACTATTATTTTTAGAAAAGAAATTATAAAGAGTTTTTCTTTAAGTGGACGCCAATATAGACTAGGTATTAATACGCACAAGATCTGTTCCAGAACTGTATTAGAACAGAATTAAAACGGAACTAGAACTGAACTAACACGGAACTAGAACTGAACTAGAACTGAACTAGAATTGAACTAGAACTGAACTAGAACTGAACTAGAACTGAACTAGAACTGAACTAGAACTGAACTAGAACTGAACTAGAACTGAACTAGAACTGAACTAGAACTGAACTAAAACTGAACTAGAACTGAACTAGAACTGAACTAGAACTGAACTAGAACTGAACTAGAACTGAACTAGAACTGAACTAGAACTGAACTGGAACTGAACTAGAACTGAACTAGAACTGAACTAGAACTGAACTAGAACTGAACTAGAACTGAACTAGAACTGAACTAGAACTGAACTAGAACTGAACTAGAACTGAACTAGAACTGAACTAGAACTGAACTAGAACTGAACTAGAACTGAACTAGAACTGAACTAGAACTGAACTAGAACTGAACTAGAACTGAACTAGAACTGAACTAGAACTGAACTAGAACTGAACTAGAACTGAACTAGAACTGAACTAGAACTAAACTAGAACTGAACTAGAACTGAACTAGAACTGAACTAGAACTGAACTAGAACTGAACTAGAACTGAACTAGAACTGAACTAGAACTGAACTAGAACTGAACTAGAACTGAACTAGAACTGAACTAGAACTGAACTAGAACTAGAACTGAACTAGAACTGAACTAGAACAGAACTAGAATAGAACTAGAATAGAACTAGAACAGAACTAGAGCTGAACTAGAACTGAACTAAAACTGAACTAGAACTGAACTAGAACTGAACTAGAACTGAAAGAACTGAACTAGAACTGAACTAGAACTGAACTAGAACTGAACTAGAACTGAACTAGAACTGAACTAGAACTGAACTAGAACTGAACTAGAACTGAACTAGAACTGAACTAGAACTGAACTAGAACTGAACTAGAACTGAACTAGAACTGAACTAGAACTGAACTAGAACTGAACTAGAACTGAACTAGAACTGAACTAGAACTGAACTAGAACTGAACTAGAACTGAACTAGAACTGAACTAGAACTGAACTAGAACTGAACTAGAACTGAACTAGAACTGAACTAGAACTGAACTAGAACTGAACTAGAACTGAACTAGAACTGAACTAGAACTGAACTAGAACTGAACTAGAACTGAACTAGAACTGAACTAGAACTGAACTAGAACTGAACTAGAACTGAACTAGAACTGAACTAGAACTGAACTAGAACTGAACTAGAACTGAACTAGAACTGAACTAGAACTGAACTAGAACTGAACTAGAACTGAACTAGAACTGAACTAGAACTGAACTAGAACTGAACTAGAACTGAACTAGAACTGAACTAGAACTGAACTAGAACTGAACTAGAACTGAACTAGAACTGAACTAGAACTGAACTAGAACTGAACTAGAACTGAACTAGAACTGAACTAGAACTGAACTAGAACTGAACTAGAACTGAACTTGAACTGAACTAGAACTGAACTAGAACTGAACTAGAACTGAAATAGAACTGAACTAGAACTGAAATAGAACTGAACTAGAACTGAACTAGAACTGAACTAGAACTGAACTAGAACTGAACTAGAACTGAACTAGAACTGAACTAGAACTGAACTAGAACTGAACTAGAACTGAACTAGAACTGAACTAGAACTGAACTAGAACTGAACTAGAACTGAACTAGAACTGAACTAGAACTGAACTAGAACTGAACTAGAACTGAACTAGAACTGAACTAGAACTGAACTAGAACTGAACTAGAACTGAACTAGATTTGAACTAGAACTGAACTAGAACTGAACTAGAACTGAACTAGAACTGAACTAGAACTGAACTAGAACTGAATTAGAACTGAACTAGAACCGAATTAATACAGAAATACAAATAAAAAACGTATTATCTGATCAAATACCTTTCAATTGTTACTATCCTATAGTAGAATTGTTTTCTTTCACAAAAATATTAATATTCCGCTAATGTTCTCCCAAAGAAATGACTTATAAAGTGACAAAGTGTTAAAAAGTGAAGACTAGATATAAAGTGGAGAGAACATATTTAACTAGTTAATGATGATTAGCATATAAATGACAGATAACAAAAGGTTTTCAATCAGAATGAATACACTAACAGATTGAAAAGTAAATTAATAGTTTGATTTCGATTTACATTAATACAAGAAAAACCTCTTAATAATTTCTTTAACTAATAACAGTAGCCTATTTGTTTTAAAACAATATCTTTAAGTAATAAATTTATATATCAAAAAGTATTTGAGTCATTATCAAGTCCTTAAAAAACAAAAATAAACAATTTTACTCTAATTATTACACAAAAATATTTGTTAATTGTATACAAAAAAAAAACTAAATTGCTTCAAGCATTTAAGCAGTTTGTTTGCAAAGTTTTCATATCAAAATTTCTTTTGTCAAAAAGAACAAAAAAATACTTATAAATGTTAATTATTAGTTAAATATAAAAAAATAATACAAAACAATAATTTTGTAAATGCTTTTAAGTACAAAAAAACTAAAAAAAAAATAATATTAGTTTGCTGGCAACATTTTTTTTTTCTTAATTAAAAACTATTTAAGAAAAGGATTTTTAAATATAAAACCTTTTCTTATATAAATTTTGTTGGCAAATTTGTGTTAATTAAATTTTTGTGTTTGTGTATTTTTCTTTCTTAATAATTAAGCATAAAAGACTATATTTAAAATATCTTACAATAACTTTTAAAGTTATTGTTTGTTGGCTTAGAAAAAAAATTGTTCTTAATATTTAAAAAATAGTTTTTTTTTGTTTTGTTATCTTCTCTTCTTGCAGGTTTTTTATAATATCTTAAAAAACATCTTTTTTGTTTTGTGTTCAATTAATTTTAAAAAAAATCATGGCAAGCTTGTTTGAGTGTAGTTTAATTTTTTGTTGTTTTCTTTTTTCTAAACAAATAAAGTTTTCAAAACTTTTCGTGTATAAGGTAAAATACATCGAGTGTTCTTTTTACCTTGTTTTATTAATGTTGTTGCAATTGTTGTTCTTGTAATTGTTGTAATAGCTGTTGTTTAGTTTCGGCCTTAACCGTTTTATAGCGATCTTTTTCTTCAGTGTTTTCCGGAGGTTCACATTCAAACGAAGCCATCGATAGAGTGTTTTCATTTAAAACGGGACTATTTTGCAAATACGAAATGACATTCGGTAGCTTCTCGAAGGGACATGTTACTTTTTTCCATTCGTTAAATTCCATAACTTGTTTGGCCAGTTGAGAGCATTTTTCGAAATTGATATGATTGTTGGGTAATCTAGAATAGACAATTTTGGTTAGTTAAATTTTTAAATAAAACTGTATTAGAACTGAACTATAACCGAACTAGAACTGAATTAAAACTGAACTAGAACTGAACTAGAACTTAACTAGAATTGAACTATAACTTAACTAGAATTGAACTGAACTAGAACTGAACTAGAACTGAACTAGAACTGAACTAGAACTGAACTGGAACTGAACTAGAACTGAACTAGAACTGAACTAGAACTGAACTAGAACTGAACTAGAACTGAACTAGAACTGAACTAGAACTGAACTAGAACTGAACTAGAACTGAACTAGAACTGAACTAGAACTGAACTAGAACTGAACTAGAACTGAACTAGAACTGAACTAGAACTGAACTAGAACTGAACTAGAACTGAACTAGAACTGAACTAGAACTGAACTAGAACTGAACTAGAACTGAACTAGAACTGAACTAGAACTGAACTAGAACTGAACTAGAACTGAACTAGAACTGAACTAGAACTGAACTAGAACTGAACTAGAACTGAACTAGAACTGAACTAGAACTGAACTAGAACTGAACTAGAACTGAACTAGAACTGAACTAGAACTGAACTAGAACTGAACTAGAACTGAACTAGAACTGAACTAGAACTGAACGTAGAACTGAACTAGAACTGAACTAGAACTGAACTAGAACTGAACTAGAACTGAACTAGAACTGAACTAGAACTGAACTAGAACTGAACTAGAACTGAACTAGAACTGAACTAGAACTGAACTAGAACTGAACTAGAACTGAAATAGAACTGAACTAGAACTGAACTAGAACTGAACTAGAACTGGAACTAGAACTGGAACTAGAACTGAACTAGAACTGAACTAGAACTGAACTAGAACTGAACTAGAACTGAACTAGAACTGAACTAGAACTGAACTAGAACTGAACTAGAACTGAACTAGAACTGAAATAGAACTGAACTAGAACTGAAGAACTGAATAGAACTGACTAGAACTGAACTAGAACTGAACTAGAACTGAACTAGAACTGAACTAGAACTGAACTAGAACTGAACTAGAACTGAACTAGAACTGAACTAGAACTGAACTAGAACTGAACTAGAACTGAACTAGAACTGAACTAGAACTGAACTAGAACTGAACTAGAACTGAACTAGAACTGAACTAGAACTGAACTAGAACTGAACTAGAACTGAACTAGAACTGAACTAGAACTGAACTAGAACTGAACTAGAACTGAACTAGAACTGAACTAGAACTGAACTAGAACTAAACTAGAACTGAACTAGAACTGAACTAGAACTGAAATAGAACTGAAATAGAACTGAACTAGAACTGAACTAGAACTGGACTAGAACTGGAATAGAACTGGACTAGAACTGAACTAGAACTGAACTAGAACTGAACTAGAACTGAACTAGAACTGAACTAGAACTGAACTAGAACTGAACTAGAACTGAACTAGAACTGAACTAGAACTGAACTAGAACTGAACTAGAACTGAACTTGAACTGAACTAGAACTGAACTAGAACTGAACTAGAACTGAACTAGAACTGAACTAGAACTGAACTAGAACTGAACTAGAACTGAACTAGAACTGAACTAGAACTGAACTAGAACTGAACTAGAACTGAACTAGAACTGAACTAGAACTGAACTAGAACTGAACTAGAACTGAACTAGAACTGAACTAGAACTGAACTAGAACTGAACTAGAACTGAACTAGAACTGAACTAGAACTGAACTAGAACTGAACTAGAACTGAACTAGAACTGAACTAGAACTGAACTAGAACTGAACTAGAACTGAACTAGAACTGAACTAGAACTGAACTAGAACTGAACTAGAACTGAACTAGAACTGAACTAGAACTGAACTAGAACTGAACTAGAACTGAACTAGAACTGAACTAGAACTGAACTAGAACTGAACTAGAACTGAACTAGAACTGAACTAGAACTGAACTAGAACTGAACTAGAACTGAACTAGAACTGAACTAGAACTGAACTAGAACTGAACTAGAACTAAACTAGAACTAAACTGAAAAATTCGTATTCAATTCATATTCAGTTCTAGCAAAGCAAATATACTTTGTATTCAGCTACCAAAATTGGTAATACATCTAACATTTTCGCAATTCAGCAGAATATTTTGAGGTAAATATTAAAAATTTATAATTTTTTTCTGTAAAAACTTAATTCAGCTAAACAGAAATCGTATTCAGCTGTGTTAATTTCTAGCAAATAGAAAATACATTTTATCCAGCTAACAAATTTTGTTATTCAGCACACATTTGTACAAAAGGCAAAATATTTTAAAGTTAATAATCAAAATTTATAAAATTTTTCTATAAATATACGCGAATATATGTCATTGTATTCAGCTATCAAAATTTTGCAATTCAGCTCACATTCTTACAATTCAATAAAATATTTTAAAATTAACATCAATAGTTTTTAATTTTTTTCTATAAAAACTCAATTCAGCTGAATAAAATTCATATTCAGCTGTCTTAATGTTGAGTATATCCAAAATGTTTTGTATTAAGCTACCAAAATTTGCTATTCAGCTGTGTTTTTCCTAATTCAGCTAAATATTTCTAAGCTAGTATTAAAAAATTGACAATAATTTCTATAAAAACACAATTCAGCTGAATAAAACTCGTAATCAGCCATGTAAATTTCTAGCTAATCAATGATAATTTTTATTCAGCTACGAAAATTTGTAATTCAGCTAACAAAATATCAAAAATTAATAATTTTGTGTATAAAAACTCAATTCAGCTGAACAAAATTTATATTCAGCTGTATAAATCAAAATTTATTTATATTCAGCTACCAAAATCTGCCAATCAGCTCACATTTTTAAAATTCAGCAATATATTTTGAGCTTAATATCAAAAATGTTTTAAGATTTTCTATAAAAACTTAATTCAGCTGAACAAAATTCGCTTTTAGGTGTCTAAATTTCTATCAAATTGAATTCAGCGAAGTAAATTTACTAAATAATGGAAAAAATTGTTTATTTATTTCCTATAAATAGAATTCAGCAGAATAATATTTGTATTCAGCTGCCTAAATTTTAAGTTAAACGAAAAAAATTCATATTCAGCTGTACAAAATTCAAAAAGCTCTTTTTAGTAAAAACATTTAAAAATAAAATATGGAAACATTTTTGGGAAAGAAAGCTTTTTTATTAAAAAAAAGCTTTTTTTTAATAAAAAAAATTTTAGTGCAAAAAGCTTTTTTAGTGAAAAGTTTTTTGTAAAACAAAACTAAAAAACTTACCTATTTGAACATCCCTCATTGAGAAAATACAAATCCTTAACAAATAAACTAAAAAATGGAATGATTATACGTTCACGCTCTTCGGTGGCGCCCTCCGAACGCCACATGGCCGCCTTCAAAGTCGAACGATAGCTATTGAAATTCGAAGTGGGATCCATTTGATGTTCTAGAACAGAAAATTTGGCGGATTGGATTTTGGACCACTGGGGAAAAAAATAAACAAATTAATAAAATTGCAAAGTTCCAAATCAAAAAAAAAAAAACGTACCGTCTTTTTTAGTCTTGAAATGGGGGCTAAATTTAGACCAGCTATTATTGCCATAAGACTATTAAAATTGCCAATATTAAAACATTCTCGGGCGGTCTCAATCCAGTATTCAATAATGCGAACACGCTGTTTCTTTTTGGGGTACTAAGGAGCAAAAGGGAAAGTTAAGAAAGTTTTTGTTAGAAGGTTGTTTCAACCTACCTTCACAATTTCCGAGGCGGTAAGATAACTCAAACGATTAAACCACTCGACATAGGATTCCAAATTCCTAGTCTTTTTCATATCATTGAGGGAAGTTTGCATTATTTGTTGCTGTGCTGAAGAACCACCACTTGTTGCCGCAGACGACGAGGAAGAGGAAACATTTTTACTCATAGAATTTTGATATTCTTTAGCAAAAGCTTGTACAAACTCCTCAGGACCTATGTGTGACAAACGTTCCAATTCTATGGCTGTTAACTGATGAGCCAATTGAGCACAACTGGGACATAGATCCATTATGCTAAAGATATCATGACTATTAGGAGAATCTGAAGAAGAATGTCCTCCCGTATTCGAGGAGGTCGTATAAGAAGCAGGTGTTGAAGTTGAGATATGAGAAAATTGAGCATTGAGCAGATAATGATTCTTTTGCGTGGAGGATCCATGATCATGATGACTATTTAATGCTTGAACAGAAGATTTTGTTAGCGAGTTATGAGCTGCATTCGAGGAAGAAGTCGATGACGAAGAGGAGGAATAAGAAGCCGATGCAGAGGTGCTATAGTGGGGTTGTATGATTGTATTGAGATCATTTTGTAAAAGAGATTGTAAGAATTCTTCATATTTCTCTAGAGCAGTCAAACGTTGTACTAAAAGCTGCAAAATGCGCGACACCTGTTTGCCCAAAGCATTGTCTATGTAGACACATTTACGCGTTAAAATACGCACCTGCTGCATAAGACGTTCATCTCGAAAATCATACGGAAACGTTTCTATCCATTCCGCCAAAAGGCGTATACAATTTTGAGCAGATTTTTGCGTTTGCGTAGCAAGTTGTCCCGGCTTGCGTTGTAGTAGAGGAGAATTGTTTATGCCCGCTTGTGTTGCACAGAGATTTGTAAAATGACCAGCATCATCTACTTGATCTTGAGCAGTACCAGACTGCTGCTGCAGCAGCTGCTGCTGTTGTTGTTCCCATGTTTGTGATATTTTGGCCAGCAATTCATGGGGTCGTATAAATAGCCTCACGCTCAAGAGAAACGAAAATGTGTAGGTTCTCTCGGGATAATACTCGGAAGTGGGTACCATATGTTCGATCAATGCATCTAAACTGCCCGCTATCAATTGATCATCATAGTAAACTAAACAATGATCATGATTAGGATCTATCTCTACCTTATCGACTTCATCCTGATTAGTCTGGTTATTATCATTACGATATAGCGTCTGCGGTTGTATGTATCTATATTTTGAGGCATCTTTTAGGCTTTGTGGCAAGTGTATACCACTAGTGTGTGAATTATGGTGTCCACTAACTGTTGAACTATCACGTCTATGAGTTTGAATTTTTGTTGTATTTATATTTACATTGGCTATGGGTTGTCTTAATGACGCTGATGATGATGTTGCAGTTCCTGTTGCTGTTCCGGTATTTACATGATGATGTTGATGATGTTCGTTGTTATTTGTTTTCGGCTGATGTGGTTGTTGTAGTTGCTGTTGTTTATCTGGCAGTGCTGTAGTTTTAAAACTAATTGACGTCTTAGCATTATTAAGTGTTGTGTTAATCGTTGCATTATTAGTTGTTGTGATGTTGCCGGTTTGAGAATTTTTTGCTGCTGCCGCTGCTGTGGAGGAGCTGGTGTTAGTGTTGCTTGTTGCCGTAGCATGGGTATTATTGGCACTAGTGCGCCCATTTGTAGCGCTATTTATGCCGTTATTCGACATTGGCAAAAAAATACTTGAGTACAACTTATCGTTGGTCCACGTAATATGAGAATAGAAAAAACATTAGGCTGGTTTAAGGGGCAATTCGGAATTCGAGAGATAAAATGCTGCAAGAAAGGAAAGAGAATGAAAAAATAGAAATTAGACAAAAAAGCTTTCGAAAGTCCATAAACTAGAGTATAGATTAAGCTATAGACTAAACTATATACTAGACTATAGATTAGACTATAGACTGTAGACTATAGGCTAGATTAGACTATACACTAAAGGAGACTATAGACTAGACTACAGACTAGACACGGATTTGACTATAGACCACATTATAGACTATAGACTAGGCTTTAGACTAGACTTGAGAATAGACTTTAGACTAGACTATAGACCAGACTGTAGATTAGACTATAGACGAAATTAGACTACAGACGACAATATAGATTAGACTATAGAATACATTATAGACCAAACAATAGGCTAGGCTATAGACTAGACTATAGACTAGACTATAGACTAGGCTATAGACTAGGCTATAGACTAGACTATAGACTAGACTATAGACTAGACTATAGACTAGACTATAGACTAGAATATAGACTAGACTATAGACTAGACTATAGAGTAGACTATAGACTAGACTATAGACTAGACTATAGACTAGACTATAGACTAGACTATAGAGTAGACTATAGGCTAGACTATAGACTAGACTATAGACTAGACTATAGACTATACTATAGACTAGACTATAGACTAGACTATAGACTAGACTATAGACTAGATTATAGATTATACTATAGACTAGACTGTAGACTAGACTATAGACTAGACTATAGACTAGACTATAGACTAGACTATAGACTAGACTACAGACTAGACTATAGACTAGACTATAGACTATACTATAGAATAGGCTTTAGACTAGACTTGAGAATAGACTGTAGACTAGACTACAGACTAGACTATAGACTAGACTATAGACTAGACTATAGACTAGACTATAGACTAGACTATAGACTAGACTATAGAGTAGACTATAGACTAGACTATAGACTAGACTATAGACTAGACTATAGACTAGACTATAGAGTAGACTATAGGCTAGACTATAGACTAGACTATAGACTAGACTATAGACTAGACTATAGACTAGACTATAGACTAGACTATAGACTAGACTATAGACTAGACTATAGACTAGACTATAGACTAGACTATAGACTAGACTATAGACTAGACTATAGACTAGATTATAGATTATACTATAGACTAGACTGTAGACTAGACTATAGACTAGACTATAGACTAGACTATAGACTAGACTATAGACTAGACTACAGACTAGACTATAGACTAGACTATAGACTAGACTATAGACTAGACTATAGACTAGACTATAGACTAGACTATAGACTAGACTATAGACTAGACTATAGACTAGACTATAGACTAGACTATAGACTAGACTATAGACTAGACTATAGACTAGACTATAGACTAGACTATAGACTAGACTATAGACTAGACTATAGACTAGACTATAGACTAGACTATAGACTAGACTATAGACTAGACTATAGACTAGACTATAGACTAGACTATAGACTAGACTATAGACTAGACTATAGACTAGACTATAGACTAGACTATAGACTAGACTATAGACTAGACTATAGACTAGACTATAGACTAGACTATAGACTAGACTATAGACTAGACTATAGACTAGACTATAGACTAGACTATAGACTAGACTATAGACTAGACTAGACTAGACTAGACTATACTAGACTAGACTATAGACTAGACTATAGACTAGACTATAGACCTAGACTAGACTAGACACTAGACTATAGACTAGACTATAGACTAGACTAGACTATAGACTAGACTATAGACTAGACTATAGACTAGACTATAGACTAGACTATAGACTAGACTATAGACTAGACTATAGACTAGACTATAGACTAGACTATAGACTAGACTAGACTATACACTAGACTATAGACTAGACTGTAGACTAGACCATAGACTAGACTAGACTATAGACTAGACTATAGACTAGACTATAGACTAGACTATAGACTAGACTATAGACTAGACTATAGACTAGACTATAGACTAGACTATAGACTAGACTATAGACTAGACTATAGACTAGACTATAGACTAGACTATAGACTAGACTATAGACTAGACTATAGACTAGACTATAGACTAGACTATAGACTAGACTATAGACTAGACTATAGACTAGACTATAGACTAGACTATAGACTAGACTAAAGTCTAGTTTGTCAGTTGATTTATAAAACGTTTAACAGAAAATTCTTTTAATTAACAAATATGTTTCTAGTAACCATAGGTGTCCCAATACTGATGTCTCTAAACAATCATAACCCCAAAAAAAAATAAGAATGGTTTGTTTACTTCTTTTTCAAAACAGCAAAAAAATATACATTTTTGAAAGTAAAACCAGCTTAATTAACAGCAAACAATTTTTACAAAAACAAAACTTTGAAACGTTGATGTTTTTGTTTGTATGCCAGTTAAAAATATGTGTAAAAATGTGTGTATGTTTTCAAAAATACTCATATATTTAATGAAGACACAGCATGTAATTAAACAGAAAACCAAAAAAAATTGTATATAAAATAATAAATATTAAATACAAATATTCTCGTTTAAATGTCGGTATATATTCAAATATAGAAATGTTAAAAGTAAAGTAAAAATATGTGTGTGCAGTGAAAGGAATGCACTCAAAATGATGAACATACGTACAAAACACATTCTTTACGTAGCAGTACATGAACGTTTATACAATCATTCTTACATACAGAGTCTCTATGATTGTACTGAAACAAAACAAAAAAAATATATGTATATCAGACGTAAATACGTACGTGCTACAACAATTATAGACAAGTAAATAACTAAAAGCCATTATTAACAGAAAACACCATGGGGTGGCAATGCCAAGAAGGCAGCGTGTCAGTCAGTCAAACATTTAGACTGACTGGCGGCCATTTATTCTTGTTGTGTTTTTATACTGCTGCCGCTGTTGCTGCTGTTGACCTAACAAACAAACAAACAAATAATTGTGGAATTAAAATAAAAGCTAGGAAGGCTTTAAATAGAATACAAAATGTAACGAAACATTATTACGATACATTCATACTGGAGGCTTTTAAATCAAAGTAATATTTTTACTGCCAATTATAGAAATGGAATTGAAAAAGTAGCAACTAACAGATGGTGGCCAATATAGAAGTTATTATAGTCTATTCTACTGTCTAGACTATAGTCTATTATATAGTCCAGACTATCGTCTATTCTATAGTCAGACTATAGTCTATTATATAGTCCAGACTATATTCTATAGTCCAGACTATAGTCTATTATATAGTCGAGACTATAGTCTATTATATAGTCCAGACAATAGTCTATTCTATAGTCCAGACTATATTCTATAGCCTATAGACTATATTCTATTCTATAGTCCAGACTATAGTCTATTCTATATTCCAGACTATAGTCTATTCTATAGTCCAGACTATAGTATATTCTATAGTCCAGACTATAGTATATTCTATAGTCCAGACTATAGTCTATTCTATAGTCCAGACTATAGTCTATTCTATAGTCCAGACTATAGTCTATTCTATAGTCCAGACTATAGTATATTCTATAGTTCAGACTATAGTCCATTCTATAGTCCAGACTATAGCCTATTCTATAGTCCAGATTATAGTCTATAGTGCAGACTATAGACTATTCTATATTCCAGGCTATAGTCTATTCTATAGTCCAGATTATAGTCTATTCTATAGTCCAGACTATATCTATTCTATAGTCCAGACTATATTCTATTCTATAGTCCAGACTATAGTCTATTCTATAGTCCAGACTATATCTATTCTATAGTCCAGACTATATTCTATTCTATAGTCCAGACTATAGTATATTCTATAGTCCAGACTATATTCTATAGTCCAAACTATAGTCTATTCTATAGTCCAGACTATAGTCTATTCTATAGTCCAGACTATAGTCTTTTCTATAGTCCAGACTATAGTCTATTCTATAGTCCAGACTATAGTCTATTCTATAGTATATTCTATAGTCCAGACTATAGTCTATTCTATAGTCCAGATTATAGTCTATTCTATAGTCCAGACTATAGCCTATTCTATAGTCCAGATTATAGTCTATTCTATAGTCCAGACTATAGTCTATTCTATAGTCCAGACTATAGTCTATTCTATAGTGCAGACTATAGACTATTCTATAGTCCAGGCTATAGCCTATTCTATAGTCCAGATTATAGTCTATTCTATAGTCCAGGCTATAGTCTATTCTATAGTCCAGATTATAGTCTATTCTATAGTCCAGACTATATCTATTCTATAGTCCAGACTATATTCTATTCTATAGTCCAGACTATATTCTATTCTATAGTCCAGACTATAGTATATTCTATAGTCCAGACTATATTCTATAGTCCAGACTATATTCTATAGTCCAGACTATAGTCTATTCTATAGTCCAGACTATAGTCTATTCTATAGTCCAGACTATAGTCTATTCTATAGTCCAGACTATAGTATATTCTATAGTCCAGACTATAGTCTATTCTATAGTCCAGACTATAGTCTATTCTATAGTCCAGACTATAGTCTATTCTATAGTCCAGACTATAGTCTATTCTATAGTCCAGACTATAGTCTATTCTATAGTCCAGACTATAGTCTATTCTATAGTCCAGACTATAGTCTATTCTATAGTCCAGACTATAGTCTATTCTATAGTCCAGACTATAGTCTATTCTATAGTCCAGACTATAGTCTATTCTATAGTCAAGACTATAGTCTATTCTATAGTCCAGACTATAGTCTATTCTATAGTCCAGACTATAGTATATTCTATAGTCCAGACTATAGACTATTCTATAGTCCAGGCTATAGTCTATTCTATAGTCCAGATTATAGTCTATTCTATAGTCCAGACTATTTCTATTCTATAGTCCAGACTATATTCTATTCTATAGTCCAGACTATAGTATATTCTATAGTCCAGACTATAGTCTATTCTATAGTCCAGACTATAG